TACATTTTAGGTATCTAATATAGACAAAAGTATTACCTCTCTATATAATGTACTTTAAGACAATTATACTACTTACTTACTTATATAATATTTTTGTAATACATATTTGACTCTTATAAAACCTTACTAGACAGATATAAGACTTGAGTTAAATAATATTAGACAAAAGTATTACCTCTCTATATAATGTACTTTTAAGACAATTATAGTACTTACTGACTCATATAATATTTATGTAATACATATTTAACTCTTGTAAGACCTTATAATTTAGTATAATAATTAATTAACATTGTATTTCCTATATAATACTAATACCATAATAGAATGTCTTTGTGAGTCTTATTGTATCTTATTATGTATTATATTACATTATCTGAAGTACTAATCCTTTTAGAGAATGATGAAATGTGTAAGGGTATACAAGGTTCTGCTTGTTTTTGTGATGTCGTTGGCACCTGATACTCCAGATGGAGATGTAATTAAGGAGGTGCAGATGCGCAGTAACATGTTCAACGTCTCATCAATGAGGTACTGAATTTATGGCTCACTTTGGCGAAGCAAATCAGACAGTTATTCGTAGCTGTGCCTAACCAGGCTAAGAAGCGTCCCCCACCCCCACAGTGTGACATACTTCGTGTATGGTTTCATCAACACTGCCTCAACTGCGGCGATTAGGTTTCATCCGCGAACTGTTCTATCGAAAACGCTGACTTCACCTGTCGTGGTGCGACGCCAGCTTTTTCTTTGCATCGTTAGTGCGCTGATGACGTTATAATTATCCCGCGTGCTATAAGGCCCGGGCAGCTGAGCAAATCTCCCATCGACGATACCCTCCATTCACGCATTCCCATGCTCAAGTCCTAACATGCGAGTCCTTGTCCATTTACCAGAGCACCCGCGAAGCTCGAGAAAACAACAAACGCCAGTATGCGATGTCAATCTCCACAATACTTTGCCCTCCCAAAGAATTGCTACACGAACTATTGTGTCAGTTGACGATTCTGGCTCGCAATTGTCGGATGCGAACTCCGAGATTTGCTCTCAGCATTCTCAATCAGACAATGCAACGGCGTCCGACCTGCCTGGTCCTGGACGCACAGTTGGAAAGCTGTTTGACCGGCTTGGCCACTCACTCGAAGCCCTGGTCTACAAAACAAGGGCTAAGTCATCTACATGCGATATTGCTCGTGAAATGGACCCCGTTGCGTCGGAGGATGAACTCCTGGACGATGGAAGTTCCATAGTGGGGTCTGAGGAATCATATTTCAACTCAGACGCAGAGTCCGATATCTCTACTAGCTACCCATACTCAGACAACCAATCCGACGAGTCTATTGTACTGTCCTCCAACAATCGGTTTCGGCGTTCAATTGATACTGATACCAGTCCTCACGAGTGTTGCCCATCAGTGATAGGAGCGCGTTGGTCCTCAGCATCCACGGACTGTTCGGTTCCCTCGACTGACTCATTCGCTCTTACAACGTGCTCCCTCTCGCGCTCGCTATCCACAGATGCGACACTTTCCAACTTGACAGGCCCTGGGCGAGTCCTCGGCCAAGCATACTCCTTGTTAGGAGGCGGCATAGAACATGTGGTGAACACGCTTCTTGCCGGACGCTCGCCAGATACCATTGCTGCTCGTTTGCATCCAGTGCTCAGGAAGTTATTGCATAGCAACTTCATGCTGCGATACAACGATCTGGAAAAAGCGGAAGTAAAAGGAATAGAAGGGGTTTTAGGTGTACAACGAGGGACGAGAGGTCTGGATAAGAAGGATAGTAGAAGAAAAAAGAGACGGAAAAATGGTAACTTCACTTCGGCAACTCTAAAGCTGCACATTGAGCAAAGCTGTGTCAGGATGTTAGAACATGCTTCCAAGTTCAGTACTATCTCATTCATGCGCTTGCATAAAGGTTTGAGTCGGCTTTTATTTTGACGGTGTATGCTGACATGGCCTTGAATTTTTTCTTGATGATAGCCCAGCATTGCATGAAATGCAAATTCGCGCACTTTTCAATATTCTCGAGCTAGCTGCAACATACCCAATTGCACGCGAGTGTTTTATTTCACTTGGCGCACGAGATCGAATCGCTGCACTGCAGCAGGTCATTGTGGACATCAGTGTCAGAGCCAACGAGCGGGATCGATGGCGAGTGGCACATTCACCAGAAGTAGAAGATGCCGTGAAAACATTATCTATTCTACGATCACGTTGTATGACTGTCTTACGGAAAGATGACGTGTTTGATTTGTGGAGAGCATTCTTCCTTTCTGGCGATGAATACGAGAGCGACAAAATCATTCTTCGCTTGTTGTCTTATTTCAGGTATTCATTTTCCGTCACTATCTATACCTGGGACTGACACAGACTTTCCACGGCAGCAGCGACGAAGAGGCCTCATTCCTTGTTGCTCGTATATTGACATCTATTTTACGGCATCCCGTTCGACCTGAGCGACGCATCTTATCTGAAACGACGTGGTCTGAGATTCTTCTTACCCTATCACGGTTGCTGGTTCACGAGCACAATCGCTATGCCCACTCGGACTTGCGCGGAACCCATTGGCCTCGAATAGACCCGGATGCCCTCGATGCGCTCATTCACGCAGCCCTTGAACGAGTCTCAATCTACCTGGGTCAATTCTCATTAACATTTGCGAGTGATGATAGTCCATTGATGACTGTTGTTTATGCTCTGCGTAGGTAAGTATCAAGTTCTTTTACATCGAGTTATCCTGACGTTATCTGCATTTCAGGCATGAGAACTCGCTAACGCGTTATCCCAATGCTGCAAACTTTGCATCATTGCTCATTCCCGCGAGAAATCGACAGCGAATGAGGCGGGCGTCTGCTTGACTAAGACGCTACTTTATATTGTCTTTATGCATTTAGTTAACATTAAACGTGTTGTCTTTAATAGTCTTCTTTTCAGTAAATTATGGTGTAATCCCGTATTGTCAGTTATGATTGTCAAGGCTTTTCGTTTCTATTGCGCACATCTTACACGTTCCTCAATCAATTTCCATTCCTTGTGTAGTATATATGTCATGTCATGTAACTTAATGCTCATGTATAGGTAATTATATTATATTATAATATAATAATACGCCCTTCTCGTGTTGATGTAAATTAAAGTACGTCGCGCGGGTATTAACTTGACAACACGACTCGGTAGCTTGTCATCTCACTAGGCTAGGTCCGCTAGGACTGTAGGCGAACGAAAGTCGCTGACTTATTACAAGCATCCCGAAAGCGGTGGACGGATTCAAGGAAGTTGAAGGAACATGGCTTAATGAGACCTCGTGGGTTTACTGTCCACCACGTCGAGTTGACCAGGGCTACTCGACTCAACCGTCACTGCACGACTGACGTGTCGCCGATTTGCACTCGATTAACTTGGCAACGCGTTTTACTAAATTAGCAAGCTTCTTCTGCAAAGCACTTCGATCATCAAGGGTCGCATTCTGCAGCTGTGCATCTTTGCTGCGCCTTCAAATCGTTTAAACAACATGCTACCCTCAAAGCGGTGCTGAGAGTGCGTACCACCTTACCGGATCCGGATGGTTCAATTTAGTCAGTCCTCCGCGGATTGGAGATATGGTAATATTTTATTGGTTAATCAGGACTACAGAGCGCCACAAGTTGCTCACCTTTACTGATACTGATAGTTGCTTACGCGATATCGTCATACTGCTTAAATAAATTTGGTCGCCCAGTCTACTGATGCGCTCAGCGATTTTGCTTATATGCGCGACGTTGTCCTACATCTTCCCGTGTATTCGTAACACTTGGCATCTTGAACCTCCCCAAGCTATTGTCTGAAGCTCCACTCCGTCAAATAGAAGAAACCGGTACCCCTTGTATGGCGCTGCCTTTATACCAGCCCCTAGCGGCACGCGCTGCAGTAGTCAGCGTATACGTGCGAGGTTCATCTAATTGCTCTCTAGTGTTATGCCATATGTCTCATCTTCGCTTCAGTTTCTACGTTGACATTATTTTTCTATAATTTCGGTGCGTTCAATTGATATAGACAAAGAACTACCTCGCTAATTACGGTGGTCTTAATGATCAGTGCTGAAATTCCCAGATGAGGTGAGAATTAACTAATTACAGGGAAAGAATCTACGATTTATTCTGTGCCCGAAGGTAAAATTTGTATGGGTAAGCTCAAGATAGGTTGTATGTCTTGTTGTGAAGAATGCTCATAGTTATGAAAGTCAAAGAAATTGACGATCGGATCGTTACTTTACGTTGTGGTAATTTCTATCCCCATTGCTCTATGGAATTTTATCTGAAGAAGAGCATATCGTGGTACGCATAGGGAAGATACACTTCTGCTGCATGCCTCATGTATGTCACAATCATCTACTATTCGCTATTTTTGCACTTTGAACTGTCTGTTGATGTAGATATGGCGCATATCGAGGCAGGTTGGCTTGTACCACTTGATGATTTTTGCGTCCTTATTTCTATTTTACTAGCTGATCATCATATCGGATTCCTTTTTATTCCGGACAGATGCGATAATAATAGCGAAGTACAATGCAGCTTCGTTTCTCAGCTGCAGGCCGGCAAGGCTCGGCTTGGCGTCTTGGGAAGGTAAATTATACGCTTTACTAACTGTGTGAACAGCTACTAACAGAGACGATGCGTTAGGGCAAGTAAGTAGACGAAGTTGCATGTTCATAACAACCATTAACTGCTTCAAGGCCAAGGATTTCCGTACAAGAAGCTGTTCTATCCGACAGCTATAGTTGTGACTTCTGCAATGGGTATGTCTTCTCAACGATAACTTTGCTTACTTTATAATGAGTTTTGAAACCTTTTAGCACTTCTTCAGCTTCGTACTTATGCGCTGTACAACAAAAGCAAGGCTATCCTTTATGCGTTTGGCGTTGTAAACTTGGCTGCCGCGATAGTTTTCATCATCGAGGATATCACCTTTACAAGTACGCGGACCGTTCTGCATCGTTCTTCCTGAACAACGATGCTAATATGTATATGCAAGAATTCAATTACAGCCGGGAACATAGAAAATACTTTGGTGTACAAACGTCAGGATGGTCAAGCGGGACAAGTTATTCACCATTTTTCTGGGCTACTTTCTCATTTAATGAAGCCGTAACCTTTGCTCTGGTGCTGTATAAAGCTTGGCAGCTATATTCATCGAGGAGTAACCAGGATAACCATGGAACTAGGACAATTATCGACATTGTTATACGCGATAATATCATCTACTTTTCCGTGTAAGTAAAACCGTCTAAGGGTATGGATTTGTGTTCATCTACTGATCCCACTACTATTATCAGAATGTTAATTACATGCCTTTCCGGGTTTCTTCTTTGCCTGGATACACAATTGGTACGTTGCGAAATAGATCAGATCGTATACATTGGTAACGTTCAGCTCGTGAACTTGGTTAGCTAAGCTCGGCCGCTAGCACCCATTTACTTGTGTCAATTGCTGTCTCGGGTATGCTTGCCCCGAACTTGTATTTGGACCTGAAGAGGAAGTATTATGCGCACGCGGAGGAGCCATACTATACGACGTTCAGTACCGCATTTGAAGCTGCACCTGGTGCAAGCATCCAAAGTATTGAGGTGTGTTCGAATACGCACAATAGAATATGACATTGACATTTTCCCATAGATGTCTACGCCTGATGAATGGGAAGGACACGAGGAATAGTTGGACCAACGACAGTAGCTGGTGTACTGTATTTATGTAATAGAGGTTACGTGCACACAATTTTCTCCCTTTGTTGTAATCATACATGGTTGACTTCTTCGAACACGAACGCGACTAGACTCGATTCAGACAAAATTCCGGCGGATTTGATGAGTTTCGGATGCATAAAAAGTGCCTTTATTTGAAATTTTGGCACTACACATACATATTCCGCGCCCACGCTATACAAAGCATTCCATTGAGAGAGATGCAACAAATATATAATATAAAATAAGATCCATCATTCAGAATCCAGCAATAATGCCGTCATAGGCAGGCTTCTTCTCCAGGTTCTGTAATAGTTTACGTGTAAGGCTACCCGGCGAAGCTCGTGGATTGAGTTACTCACCTCGTCCCACGGGCATGCCGCACCTTGTCCCGGAAAGGTCGACGGAACCCAAGAGTACTAGACATAAAATTCAGTATCGAATCTGAGCAGAAGGCTGGTGAGGTACCTTGTCAGTGTAGTCCCAAATAGTCACACCAACACAGCCTTCAACGGCGTTGCATGCGGCGATGACATTCTGATAATCCGTAGCCTGCTGCTGTAACAACTGATCCGTGGAAGGCAGAGTCATACGGATGTCGAGCTCCGTGATCGCGACCTTCATTATCATGAGGACGTAAGGACAAATATCTAGCATTTGTAACAAAAAAGGGTCGCCGCACCTCAACTCCGAGCGCAGTCATAGCCTCCATATTAGCCTGGAAGGTCGTCGGAACCTCACCAACGATGAAGTGGCATTGAAGTCCGATTCCGTCGACTGGAACACCATCGCTTTTCAATTGTGTAACCAGGTTGATCATGGCAGTGGCCTTAGCGCCTGCGGAGGATTAAGTTTATAACTAATCAACTTGAATGGGCATCTCCGAAAGTTAGAAGCACATACCTTCTCCTTCTATATTGTAGTCATTGATGTACAGTTTTGTTTGCGGATCAGCCTGCCGTGCGGCATTGAGCGCAGTCGGAACGAAATCTGTACCGAGGACGTTGTAGAAGACATCGCTGCGCCACGTGCCATCGTCGTTGCTATAGTGCTTTTATTAGAGCGTGTTGAGAAAGTTGAACGTTTGACTAACAAAGGCTCGTTGATTACGTCCCAAGCATCTGACAATATGCTTCAGAGATGTAGCGTAAATTAAATTAACTTCTTACAGCTAATGGGACATTATTAGATAATTGTGTCTTTGTACATAGGAATCTGAGTACTTACATTTGTCCAGCCCAGTGGCCCACGATCGTGCCGCAGTGCGTTTGAACGATCGATGTCAACTCAGTGGCGTTGAAATTTCCGGACGACACCCAGCTCGGTAGCTGATTGTACCACACACAATTGTGACCTGAAAAGCTAGTTAACACCGAGCCGGTGCTATAACTCCGACTCAGGAAGAAAGCTTACCGCGGATGATCTGATCATTTCCTTGCGCAAGGTCAACAATTTGCTGACCTCCAGTGAAGTCGAACTGTCCCTGTTCGGGCTCCGTTGCATCCTAACAATCTTTGAGTCAGATCACCCGTGAGGCCATTGTAACGTTGAACGACTATACCCATTTCATGCTATTTCCTGGGGTGATCTGCCCAAATTCCGAGTTATTGCTAAGGATTGCAACGTAAGCGGTGTCCGTCAACTCCGGGTTGTCTGTTGCGGAGCCGAGATATAGCTTTCCGGCCCCCTTAGCGACATCGTTGAGCTGTGCTGATGCACGCAGGGCGACAGCCACCAGCGAAACAAGGGACAATAGTTTGTTCATATTTAGAAAACCCAAAAGGCAGAGCGTAAATTGATTGCACCGAATCAGTTGATTGACTGGAGTGCCTTGACGAACGAAGGTCGAGTGGCACAGCTACTTTTATAGAGGATCCGGGGCATTTTCGCCGATTTACATGGACGGAACCATACTTCTTCGCTCTCAAGTCGTCATGCGGTCAGATGCAATCTAAGAAGCTTCTCGTTGAGATGCTTTTGGTCAAACATAAAGGCGGAGGCAGAGACGCACATGAGTGCTGACTCTGCGAGTAAGTCCGAGAGAAGGACATAAACACCTCGTCCATTTGCATCCACGTCAAAGTGGCAATTCTAGCATGAAAACATCCGAGTTGACTGCCTGGCGGCCCGCGTGCTGCGGCTATTTTCGATGTCATATGCTGAACGTCTTCAAGGTGCTGCGGAGTGAGAATAACATACGAATAAACCGATGTTCAACCGAGTGTGACATTAGGATATCCCGAATGTTGCCCGAGTAGAATGGGCGACTGCGCCAATGGAGCCGCAACGAGAGGCTTTGCTGTAAGATTCTACTAGGAAGAACAGTCAAAGATGTTGAGAGAATTGCGCAGTGCAGGTTTAAAATAATTTTGTTAGTTGTCAAGGAATGGTTTGCAATGACGTAATCTAATCCCAAGGGCGTATTATTGTATAATACGTCAATAAAGCATCGACCCATCAAACTCGACAAGTTTAAAGCGGACAAGCAGTAGAGATACAAACATCAGTGTGAATAGGCATGACAGGCTTATTTTTTTTGTCATGCAGTTCGCAATAAGATCGCTATAAGACCCTTTTCAAACACACAGCAACCGCCAATCTCATTCGGTCGACTGGTGCGCTACACAGACGGTACAAAGCTTATAGTATAGTGGCAAATCATTGGGAATTACGATCCAAACGTAGGAGAAAGTAGTCGGCGCGAATATATCATCCGTGTTTTAATTCTCTTTATGCACTGGCGCTTGGGAAGAGAGCGCTGTCGGATGGAATACCGCCAGACGGAAAGGCACTACCACTAGGGAGATCTCCCAGACCGGATGCGGTATCGTTCGCAACACCGCCGTCTTCAGTAAGCACAGAGGCATCATCCACCTCGACATTCGCAGTCGTGTTTATACCGAGAGAAATCCATCCAAGGATACCATCCGACAAGCTATCCCCAAGCAATACATACTCAAGCACTGGATCTACGTCCTGTTCATCTGAAAGGACACGATCTTCGTCGTTTGTGGTGAGTGTTCCATTGTTCGTGTTGTAGGGAGAAAGCTCATTGACTTCGGTGATGAGGCTCTGATCGAAGAAGACCTGACCATGGTGGGTATAAGACCCGCCGGAATACGTCTCGTTCTCGTTGAGCGTGCCATCGGTCTGGTGCACAACAAGGTGAACGTGGTGGGTGCGACCAGTGTAGTGACCAGGGAAAAGAGTATGGAACTGGATAAAACCTTCACCTGACGTCTGCTGGATGCCTCGTAGGAATGTCGTGTTCTGCAATGAGCCATGTTACTTATTCGTCCTACAGGACGAGGGAATAAATGAACTTACAATGTTAGATGGATCAGAGTCTCCAACACCGTTACCTGTAGAAATAACCCCACTGTAAACGCCTGTAGCATTCGCTAATGAAATGTCGTCAGTTCTTTCCTTTCAATAGAATACCTGTAGACTATCCCTCACCTGACCAGGTATCAACATATACCCCTGACAAAGGTTCGCAGGTACTGACGTCGATAAACTGAAGGTCGACGTAAAGGTCGACACCCTCCTGATCTTCTGTGAGGTCAGAGCGGACATACTCGCCCTTTACGACTGTACAGCGATATCAGGATGGTACGCGTGCAAATAAAACGAAACATGGACATACAGAAGGGCCCTACTTCGCCGGTAGCAGCGAGGACACATGTGCTATTTCCATCAAATACTGTATCCGCGTCCGAGTCCGTAGTAACGTCCGTACGATTGGAATGGTGGTCTGTCGCCAAAATTGTTGCTAAATCTCGCTTGAAAGGACGGCCTATCATGCATTATCAGTACATCCAAGCCCACAGCATAACAGCACTTCCAACTTCTGCTGACCTGCTTCAAGACCACGTGCCTCCCGTACCTTTCTAGCGAATTCGGCACGACGAGAAATAGCTCGTTCAGCTACGCCGCTACGAGCCCTCAGCTTTGAGGCACAGTCACCAAGGGAACGACGAGAGTATTTCTGGAACTCCTGGCGTTTGATTAGCTCAACTGGAGAGAAAGTTCCGGGATGAGGATGAGCGAAAACGAGTCCTGAAGCAGCAAGCGCGGCAAGTGTGAGCAACGATGTGAGAAGCTTAGCCATGATGCCGAATTCAAATTGAAATGTTTGTTAGGGAGTAAGGTGCGTCTTTCAGCTGCTTAAATATCTTGTAAACGTCAACTGCGGATTGTGTCCGGCATGATACCCATATTGAACATTTGTTAGACTGAATGGTCTAAGGAAGCCGGCGCCAAGGCGAATGAACAATAGTATAGTGGACTTGATTCGATCGAGAGACAGAACCCCGAGCCAGCGAATCAACGTTGTCGAATTTCAATTTTCGAGGGCGATGAAGATTTCGACTGCGGGAGGATCGGCTGCAAAGGTTCGGGAGCCGCAAGCTACAGAGCTTGAATAAGCCCACCGGCGCCGAAATAATCTGAAGGGACATGCGCACCGCTGCGCATCATTCACATAATATCCTACTTTGTGTGGATCGACTGTATGCTGTGTATGCTGACCCTTCGTGACGGCGTCCGAAGTAGGACCGCGCGTTTTCTTGGCAAAGTCAGGTCCCTCAGTAACAATACATGTTCGCAGCATTGCTGGCCCGTTATGGAGTATAGACGATGAGACAGGAACTTCCAGATAATCAGAGCATTAACAGACGTTTTTATCACGGGATTGGCAGAGATGGTTTCCTTCCTTCGAATTGTGCTGTAATGTACAAGAAAGAAGAGGCAATTAAATTGAGTAAAATCTAAAATTCATGTGCTTATTCCCATCACGTGCACGCGTGACCAGCAGCTTCTTTTAAATTTTTTGAAAAAGCATGAATTCTGGTTCTGGATTTTCTGGTCAACCAAGTAAACTGTTCCAAACGTTATTCTGCATTGTAGACTCATGAACCTGGGAATTTTTTTTGATATAGTTCGAGTGAAAATGTTCGAGCGGCGCTATGACGGGCACTGCTGAGCAGCAAGCACAACCCCACGGAATCAAAGCATCACCGTATCGAGGAAGAGGCCGATACGGCCATATAGCAGCAAGATGTCGAGCTTATTAAATGTCGCTATTATTAGTGCACGAATTGTTCGAAGGACTGTGCAAAAGAGCAGTCCGCACACCAAAACCCTTGCAGTGGTGCCCGAATCAAAACATTGCGCGACGGTCAAAGGTTATGATTTCGGCAGTCTCACATCCTGTGATCCCACTGCGTTCGAACTGGAGAAGAGATTTGAGGCAAGCATGGCTGTGGAGTGACTTATGATAAACAGTGCAGCTTTGCGGCATGATCTGCGATTATCTCGTTCAGTAGTAATGAGACAGTTCTTCATTCCGAGACGAAAAGTACAGCTAAATTGTATCTCTCTTACCCACAAAGAAAATAAACCAAGCTACTAGAAAATTATTTCATATCCAGCACCGGAGGACCAATGAAAGCACGCTATAAAATTTACAGGCCGGTATCCGGGTTGAGTTGGTTGTAAAGAGGGCACAAGTTCGACCAGTCAGCTAACGAGGAAAAAAATGAGTCATTTGTTTGCCTCGTGAAACTGTCCAAGGACGTACTGTTCGGCGGATCGACCGTAGCGATGTCTTCCGCATCTTCCGCAAGGACAACAGCCAGCCCGTTTTCCAAATGCCAGTCAATGTGGCAATGGAGGAACCAAGGGCCGGGATTGTCGGTAACGAAGCGGAACGTTACATTATCCGAGCCCGCACCAATGTTTACAGTGTCTCGGCGCACCGGGTTCTCGAAGTTGTACGACGAATTACCCGCAACGCGAATGACGTCGAACGTGTGCCCATGAAGATGGAACGGATGCTGGGACACATTAATTACGTCAGATATATATACAAGGAAGAGTACAAAAGGGTGTAAAACGTACGTTACCGCCTCCAGGAATATTGAGTTCAATAACTTGGTTCGGAGGCAAGTTAATCACGGAACCAGATGGTAAGAGCTGGTTTGCATTAGTAGCTCCGGAGAGGATTTGGAGAAGAACAGGCACATCAGGCGGGTTGAACGGCGCTCCATTCATAGTGAATTCTCCGCCTGCCCTTCCAATTTGTAATTGTTTGACGAAATTTGCTCCGCCAACAACGGGCTGCCCGGGCTAATAAAACGTGAATGTGAGTTGTGATTCGAGAACAATAATGATGCGTCGATGCTGCTTACTGCTCCAGGATTGATGAGAGGCTAGTGTGAAAGTGAAAGATTAAATCACTAAGCAATACACGTCACGCTAATCGATACTTACGTGGAGATTTGACTCATTTAGTACGACTGGATTCGTTTTTGCACTAGTGGCAGGATCCGTGCTTGGTGCACCATCGTAACGAAGGATAGCCGAGTTGATACCGCCAGCAGTCGTGGAACCAGCAGGTGACGAGGGTATTGCACGAATCCCTATGGTGGCACTTAAACATCGGTAGAATACATGTCAAGCATTAAGGAGGCTCACAGTAATTATCAACGGGTTGATCCATTGTAACCTGTTTCACATTACGTTAAACTATATTAATGTCCTTGGGCGAGTAAGTTACACTTACCACGATCGAGTAACGTTGAGCTGCGAAGAGAAATAACATCAGGATCTCTTCTTATAGGGCTGAACAGACATCTTACCGGCAAAGATATTAAGGGAGTCGACAGTGACGGGTTCCGTCTCAACACCATCCGCCTCAATGACGGTCATGTTATGACCATCAATCGAAAATGCAAAACTGCCAGATTGTCAGCACGTGCATTTCGGATATATTAGAGCACATACGAAGGGAAACAGCTAGTGCTAATGAGCCTGAAACGGTGGCGCTTCCCTGGTTGAGCCCGTATAACTGCGAGATCGCCACCAGCACTTGAGCGACCCTTTCCGTTTATCACAGTAGAGTCAGGGGTACTAGATCATTCATCAATAAAGACATGTTTGATATTAACGTTGCCAAACTCACGGAGTAGCATTTGTCGGATTAGGGAACAACGTAGGAGCCACTGTATTGTACCAGTCCGCGAGCATTATTATCGTGGATTCTGAGTAGATACGTGTTTAGCACGGACGGGAGAATAAAAGAGAGAGAGTCCAGACCATCATCAACGTCGTACAAGTTTGCATGGGGGTCTTCCGGGTCATGGATGATCAGTGGACCTCTGTAACGGCACAGTATGAAATACCGACTCGATTACTCAATGCGGAATTACATACCGTAAACCATCGCAATACTGGAGGCAGAACTTAGATTAGTAAAATGGTCAAGCACAACGTTCATTTATGTACCTGGGTGGACAGATGTGCATGGTACCTGTGCCAAATGAAGAGTTACACCAGTGTCAAAGAAGAGAAGCGAGGTATATATTTACCAGTAAGTTCCCGTCTGGTCGGGAATAGTAAAGTTATACCTGTAAGCAGTCGCTGAGAATTAGCATGTCTTTAATCATAATAAGTGTACGAACAAGAAACTGTGCTCCGGTACAATCGGACACCTGGCGGGAAAGTGCTAAGCGTCTTCTCAGTATATGGGCATGCAACGGATCCTTACTGTGTGACAAACGCTGGACCGTCGGCTTCAGCAGTATGGTGCTGGAATATACCATGCCAATGCTGCAAAAATCACGTTTATGTTCTCAGCAATGAATTACGCTTGAGCGTAGCCAATCTAAAATTTCTCACAATAGATGTTGCCCTCCTCATTGTTGCATCTGTCAGACTATCCGTGACGTTAATCTAAGGGTGGAATTATTCAGCAACATTTAACCTTCACAGATTTATGGCATTTAAGTGTGAATACATACAAGGAACTGATCGCCAACGTTACCAGAGATGAGCGGACCAGGAAACTGTCCATTAGCAGTAACAGTCCTAATTAATGAGCCGGTCAGTATTGTCAATCCTGCACAAATAGACAAAGGTGACTGACGAGCGACTGACACCGTTGGGAGCCAGTTGTGCATTCTGTATATTCAGGTCGACATTAACCACAGCAGCAGATACCCCAGAGGCAAGCCGCAAGGCGACAAGGAGAGAGGAAATCAACGATGCGCTTAGAAGCATGTCCAGTCTTACAGTCTTGAAGACACAACAGTGGACTGGGAGACAGACTCTGAGGAGAGACTAGTGAAGAGAAAGTACCTGCACGGACTAGCTTTATACTAACTCTCATAGATTGGTTCGTTCCATAATGATGGTGTGTGCATCATCGTGAAACGATGTTAGCTATGCTAGTAAGCGTCCACACAACCGGACCCGAAATCCCATGACCAACGGTGTTCTGACTGCAATACTCTGCCTGCGGGAAAATAATAGTCGAAACACTTTTGCTGCAATTGCAATAGGAACAGAGCTGCGTGAGAGGTCTGCATCTTCCTAATTCAACTCCATCAGTCCAGATCTCTACGAAGAAATGGGTACGGGTTCCATACTTCACAGACGAGTTTGACTGTCCAATGATGCCAAGTCGTTCAAACATCCTTGAACCACGCACACTAATCCACGGGAAACAATCGTTATTCATTTCGCCTGTACGTCACGGAGGAAAATCATAAGACAAGTGCGTGCCTTCCGAGAATCAAGGGACAAGTACAGACCTCAAAGGAGCAAACGTGGTTAGTCGTGTGCCTTGTTCGATCCATGCGTTTGAGAACAGCGCTCCAGATGGTGCAATTTCTGGAAAGTTGCGGATTTTGTTGTCTTATACAAACAATTTTGTTTGCATCCTTTACGGAATGCATACTAAACAGGCTGGCACATGAACTGCCGGCTGCTGCTTATTCTGACTTCACGTTGGTTTATACGAGCAGAGCGACTAGCAAAAGAGCGTCTCGGAAAGATACTGCGATGCACTTGCAGAGGGAGATGTAAGACTACTTACTTAGACAAGCAGAAATGGCTCATGAAAAGTCTAATCTCTAGAATTTCTCACGCCTGTCTTACATACATATTACGTACTTCTCTCTACATCAACGCTGGTACCTCGATTGTACAGTCCGCCGTGAATTCAAAACAGACCTTTTCTCTCATGCAACGGCCATCTGCATTTGTTCGAGACCTGGCCTTGGAAGGCATATGCTTCTGATAATATTCTGTCAATTCGACGAATAAATGCAAAAGGAAAGCCCGACAGTCCGGTGTGAGACAGTCAGACAGCGGCTTCAGGAACAACCTCGGAAAGTGGTCAAAACTTGCTGAAATTGTTCCACTGGAAGAAGTTCCGTTGAATTGCGTCTAAAATGTCGTCCTTCTTTATCCCGCCGAAACGCGTATTAGGTCTGATCCGGCGTCTGGCTTGCCAAGCCGTGTGCGTGAGTGAGAAATCCAAAGTCTTGTTAACCGCGATGGATTTCGGTCCCGAAGGAATTATCGGCAAGTCAGGATTCGCGAAGGGTAAATCCCTACAATTTTATCATGATGAAATCACATTATGCCTGACCACCCCTCGACGCCTCGTCCACGACGATCGGACATTCCCAAGCCTCGTGGGTCTCTGAGAACTTGTACGGGGCAAAACTGCTTGGAAGTCCATCTTGACGTATTGTATTGAACTCTGTCTCGTGTGGGCAACGGGTATTCGAATGCGAGTACATTCAGTACTGTCCGATGATGCAAGGCTATAGCCATTCGTGTCCACGTTGACAGATTGTTTACTCAGTGTTTCGCATTCCGTCCGTAGTCAATAAGCTTGCTGGTGCTTAACCTCTGGTCCTCGTGCGCCGAGTCAACGTTCACAAATCCCGTTAAGTCAAATGCGCCGTGATTGCAAAAAAGGCGAATTGACCGGAGCGGAGTCGTGAATAGGTGCCTAAGTTGATAGAAATGTTCACACAAGCACTGGATCGCTGGACACACCGTAGAAGTGGTTCGGTCCGAACCCCAAACTCAATTTGCAATGCATCCGGTCTTCAGTATACTTGTGCCTCGGCACTATCTTATTTTCAGATTAGTTAGATATTTAGACAAGTTGTATGCGAAGACAAAATCAAAAGAGTGAACAAAGTCGGAAAGACATTATCAATTAATGCGTCCTCGTCGGCCATCGTAAACGGATTACCCAGAGATCGTAAGTGCGAATGGATGAACGTCCAAGTTTATCATGCAGTGACCCCGATATTTTCGACACCGGAGCGGATGCGATTCGTTGAGGGATTAAGGAGAACTGCTCATTCAAATGCGGTATCTGGGTCCGCTGCAGAGTACTCGGGGCAAAGAGCACTCCAAGCGTCTGTATAAAGGTTTCAGCAAGTAAGTTTTTTGCAGATGTTGATAGCATCTTACCAGTAACAGGGTCTGCAGATGCAATATCATCAGCATCCTCAACCATTACGACAGCCAGTCCACTGGAGCCGAGAGTGAGAATGAAATTAGTTACAAACAGTCACAATTCACTTACGCAGCGAGATGCCAGTCAATATGGCAGTGCAGGAACCACGGGCCGGAGTTGTCGGTGGTGAAGCGGATGGTCACATTGTCAGTCGCCACACCAATGTTGACAACGTCTCGACGAGGAGGGTTGACATAGTTGTACTCGTCGCTGCCTGCCACACGAACAACGTCGAAGTTGTGTCCGTGCAAATGCATCTACAAAAGTGGGGCGTGTTCAGTTATGCCTATGAGCACTCTGCATGCGAGGTACAAACCGGGTGCTGTTAATTATCATGAGTAAGTCATGCCTCCGGAGACAAAAAAAATAACTCACCGAAGCTCCTCCGGGCATGGAGATCTCAATGGTGCTATTACCAGGAAGCGCGTAGATAGATCCGGACGGTAGGAGATCTGAAGCACTTGTTGTTCCAGAAAGGACTTGAAGCAAAACAGGGATGGTAGGATTGACCCATTCTACATCGTTGACCATGTGAGCACCGCTTGTCAGGTTCTATGGATGTAACCCTGTGTTAGAGCGAGTAATAATATCATGGTCATACACTGAGCTCACCAGGGCGATATCAAGATTCAAGGCATAGTCCACTCCTCCTGCAACCGCTTCACCTGGCTGTGTGACCGTGAACATCTTTCTTAATCTGATATAGATAGGGACTCACTGCTCCTGGATTGACCAATGGCTGAAATGAATTAGTAAGACTTAAGACTTTTGGCAGTAAGAAAGTGACTTACTGCAAGGTCTGCCTCATCGAGCTGCGTCCCTTCGGTATTCTCGATGGTGGTAGGCTCCTCATCATCAGCGCCGGAGTATCGTAAGATGGCGGAGTTGATTCCATTTGTGAAGCCAGTAGTACCCTGGCTCGGCTCGGCGCGGATCCCTGCGATCATTGAGCAATTGTCCGGATTTCTGACAATATTCACTCACAGTAGTTCCCAACATCCTGAGTGGCATTCAGGACGACCGAGTAGCGTTGTCCAGGGTAAATGACGAGGGAGTTAACCTCCTGTATGTGGTGCAGATGGTTCATTCCTGAGCTCAGGAGAGTTGAGGACGAGACGTACCACTGACTCCGTCTCGATGCCATCAGCCTCTATGACCGTCAGATTGTGTCCATCAATCTGGAACGTGAAGCTGAACAATCGAATTAGAATTGCGCTTTTAAAATGCTAGCTCTATCTGTTGCTCACGAAGGGTAGCAACTCAAGCTAACGATACGGAAGCGGTATCTAAGACAAAACGTGGGTTTAAAGCCAGCAGGCGTTGAACGGAGACAAGTGACTGACCGTTGTCCTTGTGTGACATTCAAAACGGCGAGGGACGAGTCTGTTGGCCCTCCAGAGTACCGGCCAAGGCCATTGATGAGAGTAGCATCGGGTGTGCTACACAGCATATACTAAATAACCGTAGAAATTCACAAGTTGTTCACTCACGGATCAACATTGCCCTGTGAAACAATATAAACGTTCGTCAGGAACACGTATGTTGTAGAATGGGCAAGGTGACGTACCGTATTCGGGAAGAGGACATTTGATACGTTGTGATACCAGTCCGCGAGAGTAATGACGGTCGTTTCTGAAATCCGATGTAATTAACTTTCTGAAACATGGAGAACGGAAATAGGCGCATACCATCATCGACATCATACAAATCCGTAAGAGGGTCATCCGGATCATAAATGACAAGTGGTCCACTATGGTATGCGATGCAAAGATTATTCATAGGGCTATCAGGACTCCACATTTCTCCTTAAATTGTGAGAGAACCAACCGCAAACCGTCGCAGTACTGCGTCCCCACATGACTATGATACCAATAGGCTGGAAACACACAGGTAAGTTCGCTTTTAAAGGAAGAGAACTGCAAGTATAACTCACTTCCCGTTTGATTAGCGACCGTGAAGTTGTAACTTCACAGTAGTGATGTTAAATTCAATTTGAAGATGGTGACATGTAAAACTACTTACAGGAAAGAATTTCCTGGGATAATTGGACACTGTAATTCGAATAGTGAGCTCACTATATAATGCAAGGAAACTTGCTTGAAACCGACCTGTGTTACCCATGCGACACCGTCGTCCATTGCGGTTCCTAATAAACCTGTTAGAGAAGAAATTGGTAGCATATCGCTTATATTGTACCCTTTTGGAATAGACCATGCCAATGCTAATGAGGTATGTCAAGAAGCTGCTGTCGTAATGTCCGTTAAGTTAACTTACGATTGAAGTGCCCCGGTACATCGTAGTATCCGTAAGACTATCCGTGACGTTGATTTGGAACGTGTCACTAGCGTTCGCAGAAATCAAAGGGCCTGGTAACTGTGCGTTGGCTAGGACAGCGCTAAAACGAGAGTTCAGATATCAATACAACACCGACGGCCTTGACCCTCTCGAAAGAGCTACTTACGAGCGCGTATAGCCGTCCGGGGACACATCAGCATTAGTGAGTTCGAGGGATTGGGTAACGATGGCTGAATGCGCCTGGTGCGTTAGAGCTAGTAGTAGCGACGACGCAAAGGCGAGTTTGGACATGATTAAGTTAGCGACTGAAGTATTGTTGAAAGGACTGTAGGTTGTTTTCTTGGTGAAGGAAAAATGTCTCATTGTCCGAGCCTTTTATGCGATTCTCTAGAGCTAGGCTCCGGATGGAGTCAAACACCGCCAACATCGGATGGAGGCCGTCGTAGACAAAGCGCAGTACAGAAGCAACGGAGAGACCTTGGATGGTGTTACGGAAGGTAGCATCAGAGGAGTCCGATTGGCGAGATAATAATTTAGGTCTCGATCTGTCCTCGAGTTTTAGTGCCTTGAGCTCGGATCCGGTATCGCAAGCATAGAAGGAAGGTCATAAAACGGATGCATTGTATGAATACCGCTGTTCTTCGCCAGCTCGAAGAGGAGTTTGTCATTAACACAATTTGTGTAAATAATCATATACATATTCCTGAGAAATGATGTGTCAAACGAGGTTCGGTGGACAATTCCTTAGGAGAACTGTGCTCACCCGTACCACATACTCTTGTCTTCTAGTGATTCTCTAGCGAAATCAGTCCTCGATTTGTCCAAATTTGGCCTCCAGGGATTGAAAACATCCGTGCAGATCAAACCGATAGTTGCTGAACGCATAGCCTTCAGGTCGTGGAATACACGCACGAGGGCCGCAGGAGGATGCTGCGCAACGTTCAGCAATCCGAGTCTTCGAACATACAGATACGCGAAACGTAATCCCGAAAAGGCCTTGACGTTTTCAAGTAACTCAGAGCTGGTGGTAGCACTCCTGTGCATAATTGCGCGCTTGCAATTTGACTCGAGATTCAGATCCGTAGCGGCCGCCTTGTGTGTGAGAGCGACATAGTTAGCCCCTTGCAACTAGAGCGATCCTCGAGTGGATACAAAACACACGTAAATCCTACTTTCGAATATTGGTTGCAACCTTAACATCGTAGTCCTAGTTCAAAGATGACCTGATGGGTTTAGTGATTAGAAATCGCGTAGGAGGCATAGGAGAAAGGAGTGGAAACGCATTGACGGTGCTGACATGTGGGCAGTCCAGTGAGCCGACCGAACAAACCGCAGCTCAGGTTTCTCTAAGAATAGGAACGAGAATGATAATCTCACACAGCCCCGAGCAGTATCAAAGCGGCCGCTCGGAGCCGCAGTCAATCGCGTTGCACTGAGCGGACGAAAGAGGGCGCAGCTTGCTGCAAGCGGAGTTGCAAAATGATCAGGAACATCTTCCTCGTTTAGAATGCCGATCTCACATATACAGATACCGCTCGCACGGTGGTCAAACGCATTTTTACACCATAGTTTCTTTCAAAGTGGACCGAATGCATGTAGAGATAGGTCGGAGTATAGACTCACATAGCATTACGAACGGTTAACAAGGAATCGCTACGAGATCTACGGACAATTGACGAGAAGTCTCTATTTACCATTTGACCTCCGAAAGAAGCAAATAACTAGATAAAGGTAGCATCCACTCAAACGAGAAATCGTATCTACTCTTATGTATCATGGCTAATTAGGCGGGGAATTCCTCTGTTCTCGATCCTCGCGCTCCGTATTGCCGTTGTTCGTAAGCTCAAATTGTCGAAGGAATGCATCCCATGCTTCTGCGTTGGCGTCGTCCACATTGTAGTATAGATCATCCACGATGGTCATCGCCTGTGGTAATTGCTCGTGTGTAAAGGATGACTGGGACAACCCCACCGAATTAAAATCATAATCAAAGGCTTGAGCTTCGGCATGACTGAATCGACCGGCTGTATATGAAGCTCCGGTATCGTCCCCGATACACCATACGTCATGTGGATCTTCCACCGAGAACTGCGGCAGACTTGAGGCGTCCCGCTCTCTGGAAGCCGGAAATACCGCAGCAGCCGCTGTGGTCCCCACAGTCGGAGAACGCGACCGATTCAAGGGTGAGCGAACCTCCTGATGTTGCAGAGTCTCATTGGGTGTGATGCGACGCTGTTCAACATATCTTGTAGTCCCGCGTAAGATGTGCAGTTCTTCTTCGCCTTCTCCGGTTTCAACGGAAGATCGTGGAGAATGTGACGCTTGTCGTCCGCTTCCTCGATTCATAAGACTAGTAGTATCCGTCGTTGCACAACGTGAATGCGGGTTGAGCTCTTGAAATGCGACAATCGCTCTATCGCGAAGCCGATACAGAGTTTTCTGTATAGAAAGAAAAAGTTAAAAAGGTAAAATCTGGCATACGAAAGTAAGCTCACCAAACCATTGCGTGCTATGGGCTGGTTGCCTACTGTCTCAAAGATACCGATCGCACTGTTAAGTTCATCCAGCGCCGCGGCGGCGAAGTCGATTGCTGATGGCCTCGAAGCGACAGATCCAACAATCACCTGACACAGATATGTTCATGAGCATTTGAGGGTGAAGATAGCGATATTCAGAAGATTATTGCAATGCGCGAAGTATCTCGATAATGAGAAGGGTGTGTAGAAGAAAACTTACCGCGCAACTATATGATATCGACCATAAAGTCCACATGCGATCCCTATACCGACGTTAGCCGTTGCATGAGACAGGAAATGAAACATGAAATTCATACAAGATTAGCGGGATATTGTAAGAAGAAGCGTAGAGAAGTTGCAGCAACGACGTCGAAGCTCGATACGTTGCTAAGAATGACGTGGCGTAAGGGCTTCGCATAGGGCTACTGGGGTACTCAATCATCGCCCGTGCAAAACTATTTCGATGAACGTATAACGTAGCTGAATTATGCGAGGGTAATTGAGTTGAGCAAAACGCTGCAGGACAAACATGATACTTTGATACGTACCCACCTCTTTCCATCCCCAAGTAACATATGGGGTAAGGTTCCGATATTCGCCATCCGTGGCGAAAGTCCGACGTGATTGCGGTGGGGATGGGAAATAAGGGTGGATCTCAAAGTCTCGAACTAGCTTATCCATTTCCATAATATCTGTATATTTAGGTGGACGGGAGGAACAGAGTTTTTGTGAAAGAACACCCAAGACATCTCGCGTAAAGCGGTATCGCCATTGCCAAACTAAGGAACAACGTCAGTACAAGGAACAATATCGAATACTGTAAAGCATCGCTTTTCAAGTCAACAACAATAACAAAGCTTACCGCTTTCAATGACTGCTCCATTGTCGTCGATCGCAGCACCATGATCAAGTGGAAATTCACAATCAATTGCATCATTGGTGAAAAATGCAGGTCTTCCTGAGGATAGACTCTGAAGAAAAATAATATTTAGTTGTGTACCATGAAAAGTAGCATTCGTCGCACCCATAATTTATCTATTGCATTTATTTCCCAGAACGTTCGACGACGCCGGTTGGCGGTCTTGCTGTCTAATTTCCAACGAGACGGATCGCGATGAAGCCCGATCTAAAAAATCTCATTAAGAATGTTCGAACATTCAACATCACCATGCTTACACTAGAAGTGAGAAGCATGCCAATAGACATTAACTTATAGGAACTCTCTTGGGAAGTTTTGCGCCCAGACTTTGACTCGTATATGGCCATAATAATCAATGCTTGACATGCGACGAATGTCCCATGCTCTAGGATAGAGCGCATTCCTAAAGCAGCGCGCGAGAGATGGTAAAATTTCTCCGCTTCTGGGTTGACAGCAGGTTGTGTGAGGTCCGTGGCAGCGCCACATGCCAATATGACGAACAAGAGTGCAAGGTCATGTAGATTCTCATCGTTGACTCGATCTACTGAGACATGGCACTGTTGAGGATAGAAAGTAGGAAATATTTCCTCAACAATCTGTCCACGGTCAACTGGCACCTTATTGCACATCAGTACTCGATTTGTTGTAGGACGGCGGGGATGAAGCACGATTAAAATTATGGACAACTGCAATGCGAACCTCCGTGTTAAACCATGTTAGATTGGCAAAGTACACCTCCATCAAGGACTTCGCGCGTTCAAACAACGGTAGATGTGAGACCAATTGGCGCACATGTTCAGGTCGCGACAGATAAGCGGGGACAAACGGCCACATACTGCTTGCTTGGACAAGGTCCGGTGGCAAGTTTGATAAACTGAAGGGTTGGTGTGCAGAATGTGCGCCGGAAGAGGAGTCCAACATATGCTACCAAAAAGGTAAGTGCTTGAATAGAAGTATAACGCGAGACGTACCATCAATAGCGCATCCTAGCGGATATAATTAGAATACATTCTCATTGCAAAAGTTAACCAGACGTACTACCGTTGCCGAGGCACCCAAGTATCTCATTGTTCTGCCCTCGCTGACGGATAGTGTTCCAATTGCATCCACGAGCTCTTGTTCTACATCACCATCTGTTACTCTCTCCGGACGTAAGCGATCCATGTCGACGCCTTGCTTGATAGCGAGAAGCTCGGCGGACAGAAGCGGGTGGGACGCGCCATTCTGTGTTTGTAACGCATCCTCGAGAGATCTGATCCTCTCGCTCATCAACATGAGTTTCCGTTGCACATCATATTCATGAGCAGCTGACGAAGATACTATTCCAGCGGCTATCTGGCGACCACTACTTATACCATCCCTGCTGGTTCCTTCATAACCATTCAGGCGTTCAGCTAATCTCGTTAATAAGAAAACAGATATCGAATTACTCACTCGTCGGACATAGCTCTGTGCATTCACGTCGGATACAGGAGGAACATGGTACCTTCTTATCACACTTAAGTTTGAGTCTGCAAATTGTTTAAAATAGGTGAGGTATAATGACATTAGCAGAGCAGAACATACCTGCGGCACTCTGCACACGATACCTCCCCAGCTAGCCTTTTGAGTTCAATTTCCCGTAACCTAACCCTCTGTAGCTCCGAATCTGTCAAATCCGAACTTTCCTGGGGCGACGGCATTGCTCTTGCTGCCTACACCTCAGACTGATCGAGCCAGGCGATATAAGATAGCTGGAACTAATTCTGCGACTGATAATGCGCTTGATCGCAGTCGAATGCCACTGCGGCGCAGTTCGGTGCAAATTAGACGTTCAGATGTGCGTCGCTGAAGAACCATGGCGGTGCAGTGCAAGATTTATATACCATTACCCATCGAAGTTCGAGTGAGACAGATCAGCGTTGCCTTATTTGTGTGGATGTGAGCACAGAAGAATATCAAATTCAATTACTGGCGTTTCTTTTTAGGGACCCATGCCAGGTACTAATATACCATACCATAGTATAGTAGTAACTGTACCATGCCATACCATACTGCAGGATGCTAGGATAATGCCTCACCCAATGTATTGTACAATGTATACAATACACAAAAAACTTGCCTAGCAGTAAAAGAAATGTTAAGAAAGGGGAAAGAGGTTATGTGAGAGGCTTAGAGGGATCACACAAAGAGGGGGGAGTAGTGGACTCAGCTTGCTCTCTTGCAGCTTGCTTCATTGTCTGTTGATTAGTTAGTCTATATATACTATGTAGGTATGTCTCAGATGTAGAATGTATGATGGAAGGTATTCCATCATTGTTTGTCATTGCTTGTAAT